GAAAAATTAACTAAGTTGTCAAAGATAGTGCTGCTAAAGAAGTCCTGCCTGGCTTGAATCCAGATCCAATTCTAAAGTCCAGGCTCCACATTACCATTTCTTCCCCTGATTGTAGAAGTGAAGCCTTTTCAAACTATATTGAAATCCCACACATGATTTGCCAATTCTTAATGCAGGTATAAATCCTCCCAACCTCTCCTTTCTTTACAATTGCCTCTTCGATGGTGACATTTTTCTTTATTATATTATTCTGACTTTGCTGAATGTGAAAGAATTTAACTTTCCAAAGTGTAATTTTAATATGCCACATTCTAGTATGGCAAATTACTATTATGAGAAGTGTGCTACTTGGAAACTTCAAGTAGCCTTCTAGAGTAACTTGTAATTATAATGAATTGTGTTGATGTTATGTGCATTTTTATTGTATATAATTTAACAACTATGTGATGACTATCTAATTATAGTCTATAGTTCACAAAGTAATAGTTTACAACAATATTTCCTCAGTAGAAGTTATACTTCCACATGAGGTTCTTGTTTTATGTCTGCATACAAGTGGTATATTACTACAAAATGTGCATACAAATAAAGCCTTACCAACAAAAAGAACTTTAGAAGTATAATCTGTTTTAGAAACATATTTTCCAAAATTTGCAGAGAAAATTACATCCCTTAAACCAATCAAAGTAAACAATGCATTAAAATATTTTTGTCCTGTCAAACATTGTAAGGAATATCCTGGCAATAATTGTGAGAGAAAATACATTATTCAAGAATAAATCGGAGGGAAAAAAAGTAAAATTTTCTACCTCTGCAAGAAGCACTGGATATGCACCTCAAGCATTACATCCCTTAAGCACTAAATCAAAGAACAGAGACAACAACAAAAGGAAATCTTGACTCTTTTCTTCAAACTACATCCTGAGCACATCCACTTCTTACCACCTCTCTTGGTACCTTCCTGTCCAAACCACCATTATCTTCACCTGGATCACTGCAGTAGCTTCCCAACTGGTCATCTGGCTCCTTCCTTCCCTCTCCTACAGTCTGTTGGCAACAGAGCAACCAGAAAGACCCTGTTATAACCAAAGTCAAATCGGATTCCTTCTCTATTTAGAGGCTGCCACTGACTTTCTTTTCTCTGAGAGGAAAAGCTGAAGTTGCTACAATGACCAACAAGGCCTTACCCACTCTGGCCTCTCCAGACACCTCTCTGACCTTGTCCTCCATTATCCCCTCCTTCTCCCTCTGCCCCTGACACTCTGGCCTTTCTGCTTTTCCTCAAAAATATGAGGCAGATTCTTGCCTTTTGACCTCGGCTTACCTGTCCTTTTTCCTGAAGTGTTACTTAGTCACTCTCTTTTGCTCATATGTCACCTTTTCAGTGAAGCCTCCCTGGACCACCAAAATTAATAGCAATCTCCTCTGCCAATCAACTCCCAGATGCCCCAGTCTCCTTTACTCTGCTTTATTTCTCCATAGTTTAAGCCACCTTTTCACGTACTTTAGAATTTACTGGTTTACTGTGTTTCTTGGCTGCCCCTGGTAAAGAATCCTCCTGCAGTGCGGGATACCTGGGTTCGATTCCTGAGTTAGGAAGATCCCCCATAGGAGGGCATGGCAACCCACTCCAGTATTCTTGCCTGGAGAATTCCATGGACAGAGGAGCCTGGCAGGCTACAGTCCATGCCGTTGCAGAATTGAACAACTGAGTGACTTGCACTTTCACTTTCCTCACTATAATATTCAAGAGGGCAGGGTCTTTTTTCATTGGTGTGTCACTGGAAACCAGAAGAGTTCCTGGCACATAGCAGCCACTCAGATATTTGGCGAATGAATGAATGAATGAATGCTAAGATTACTCAGGCACATGTGTTTGTATTTCACTCTTTCTTTGCTTCCCCAAAATAGCCATGATGCCAGCCTCCCTGAAATCTTGGATAATTCAAAGAGCTGTGCATTAAGAAATAGCCTAAAAAGTTATTTAAGAAATTATGGCCTTGTTATTCAGGGTTCTGACATTAATACTGAAATATTCATCATGATACACTGAAAGGTTCTCTGCCTTACTAAATTTTCAAAATAATTTATCATGCCAGGGACAGAATTAATTGAATTATTTTCTACTCTTGAGTCAAGAATTCAACCGATATGCTGTTTTTCCTCCGTTTTAGTGTGCTGTCATATATAAGCACAGATCTGATTTTGTGATGAGCTTTTAAAACTATTGTTAATTCTTCTATGTGACATTTTTTCAGGCAGAACTGCCACAATTCCAGTGAGCAAATAGGATTCACCAGTATCTGAACCTCATTAAACATAATTGTTAAAGTATAATGAGTCTTTAATTCTCATCATGATAATCTCTCTAGAGGAAGAATTTCCTTGAATGATGTGAGATCAATGAAATCTAAGACTACATGTTTTTCTCAACAAAGATTGACCATATGTGTACTATGATAGAATTATTGCTAGATGCTGGAGCCCAGAGATAAACAAAAACCTGCCCTTGTCCCAGAATGATTTAGTCTGGGGAAGGAGACTAATAGGTAATTGCCTAATAAGTCTGTGATATGCTAAATACTATAGCAGTTTCTTTGAAAAGTTCTGTGAAAACATCGAAGAGAGATTTTTTTTTTTCATTTAAACATGTTTATTAACCACCTCCAGCACTGTGGTGCTGGAAAAGACTCTTGAGAGTCCCTTGGACAGCAAGGAGATCAATCCTAAAGGAAATCAACCCTGAATGTTCATTGGAAGGACTGATGCTAAAGCTGAAGCTCGAATACTTTCTTGGCCACCTGATGTGAAGAGCTGACACGTTGGAAAAGCCCCTGATGCTGGGAAAGATTGAAGGTAGGAAGAGAAGGAGCTGATTGAGGATGAGATGGTTGGATGGCATCACTGACTCAATGGACATGAGTTTGAGCAAACTCTGGAGGAGATAGCAAAGGACAGAGAAGCCTGATGTGCTGCAGTCCATGGGGTCGCAAAGAGTTGGACACAACTTAGTGACTGAAAAACAATATTAATCACCTGTTCATGTAGACATGTATAAGATACAGTCTTCTGAGAGGTATTGATTATGTCATTCATGCTGATCCCACATGTGTGACTGAAAACATTGAATCTTGAAATGCCACTTGGGAACAATGTCCAGTTATAACTGGTGAAACTTTTAGAGCACACCTTTTTTGTGGTGTAGTTACTGGACTCAATGTGCCAGGCACTGAGCTTGGTGCTGCTGGGTGGTGCTCTAATCACTACATGTCTGCACGCCAGGGTGGACTGGCTACTATGAGTTCCAGGAAATATTGCAACCAAAAAAGCACCCAAGACTTGTAACTAGTCTTATTCAAAATCTTTCCTTTGTCTGATTCTTGCACAGTGTTACAAGTTTTATATAAAAAGGCTGAATGCTTCATAAATAATTTAAAATTTTAATGCTATTAGGGTAAGAGTGAAAAATTAAGAAACACTAAGAAATACTTTCAGCCATCTTCCATGAACATTTAAAAATTGAGAAACTGACCAAGGGATATCTGTGAGTTGAATTGCTCATCATTTAATGAAGTAGCCAAAAAGACAAATTTGTATTACATTCAAGTGTATTATGAATCCTGTGTACAATGATGTATACCAAGTGTACAAGGGTATACTTAGCTATATGTGAACATACACTTGCTCTTATAACAATTAACATACTTGAAAATGACAATAATAAAATTTACACAATATAGTACTTACTATATATTAGGTACTATTCATATAGTAAGTAATTCAGTCATCTAAATGACCATATTGGGAACCAGGATTATCCCTGGTTTTTTACAGGTAGAGGAAAGCACAGTGAGCTTACTAGCCCAAGGTCATTGCTAATAAGTGGCACAGCCAGAATTTGAACCCAGGTGATCAGGCTCCAATCACCAGGTAAATTCTATGCTATATTGCCACACAGGTAAGACAGCCAAATAAGCCATGTTCATTGTTTAATTCATAGCATATTCTGGCAGGGCCTTGTATTAAGTGGATGTTTTCACTCAGAAATGTGTTAGATAATATTCCATTTTTCCCTTTCTTTATCTATTCATCCATCAGTGGACATTTTAGTTGCTTCCATGTCCTGGCTATTGTAAATAGTGCTTCAGTGAATACTGGAGTGCATGTATCTTTTCGAATTATGTTTTTCTCTGGCATAAAAAAGAATGAAATAATGCCATTTACAACAACATGAATGGACCTGATTGTCATCCTGAGTAAGTCACACAAAGAAAGACAAAAATTATGTGAAATTGCTTATATGTGGAATCTAAAAGAATTGATACAAATCAACTTATTTATAAAGCAGAAATAGAGTCACAGATGTAGAAAACAAATTTATGGTTGCCAAGGAGGAAAATTGGGGGTGAGGGACAAGTTGCAAGATTGAGACTAACATAAATACACTGCTACATATAAAATATATAACTCATGAGAACCTACTGTGTTATATAGGGACCACTTCTCGATACTCTGTAATGACCTGCATGGGAAAAGAATCTAAAAGAGTGAATGTAAGTGTTTGTGTAACCAATTCACTTTGCTGCACAGCAGAAACTAACATAACATTGTAAATTAACAACTGCAATTTAAAAATTAATAAAAACTTAAACAAAAATTAGAGAAATGTGTTAGGGAAAAATACATAACATGTATAATCCTAGTTTGGAAAATTTTTGCTTTTTTTAATGTTTCTTAACTATAATACCATCCCAAAATACTCAAGTAACTTTCAAGAATGACTCAGTGTATGCCTAACCAAAATATTGCTAATGATGACAGCAACACCTCAGAAGTTTTAATTACCCATCACATAACGCAAGGCACACCCTGCTAATTATATCTCTTAACGTGAAGTTAGAAATCCAGACTATGACATATTTACTTTGCAAGGCAGAAGAATTAAAGGTAGTGTGAGTCCCATGCTCTTCTGGACCTAGAACTTAAATACTAATTGATGCCATTTTGAAGAAAACTGCTTGATATTTTTATAGTGCAGTGACTTTGCAGGCAAAAAATTTCAAGATTTTACATGATTTTTAAAAAACCAACTCAGATGTTTGGAATTTGGATTGCTGCACTTTTATTCTTTGACAAATCACCAGGTAAGACTCATAATTTATAATTTCTTTGAAACAGAGTATATTGACATCTTAAATGTAATTGACATGGACTTTGAAATATTGGCTCTGTTTATATTTTATTCTTCATAACGTTATCTAAAGGAAAATGCACCAGTTCCATAATAATGAATCTGACAAGCATATGAAAAGCATCAATTTCCAATAAAATAAAAGTCACAGGACAGTCTTGTACTGGGCCTCCAGCTTCATCATTTAGTAGCTTTATGGCCTTGGACAAATAATTTATTCATTGAAGTTTCAGTTTCTTCACTTCTAAGATGAGTATGTAGCAGTAAATGAAGACATACATATTTCCATTTTCAGTACCTGATTCACAGTAGATGCTCAATAAATGTTTGAATGAATGAATGAATGATTAATGGTGATTGGAAACTCCACATTGATTTTTTCCTTTTGTGTCATGGTCTTACACCTTAGCTCAGTATTTATTGACTTCTGAACTTTATATTGTAAACTCCTTATGTATTAACATTACCTATGTAGTAGTTATTGGTTTCTTTTGTTCTTACCACCCTGCTTCAACATTGTGCGTGTAAGCACAATAAAAGTTAGTTGATGCATTTTAGCCAAAATAGAATCAAAGGATTTCAGTGTGTTTTAGTCCCTGCTCTCTAGCTCTCTCTATGGAATAAAAATAAAGGGATGGAGCCCTTGTTAGGTTTAGTATATGCCAGGAACTGTGCTCTATTTTCCATGATTTTCCTACCCCAGGACAGTTCCAGTTGAATGCTGAAAGCAGATTAATGAGTTCCAGAACAGAATTAACTGAGTCAGGTATGCCCTGGTCTATTTTCTTGTATTGTCACATCTCTTCTCAGTGGTATCTCCTCCTCCTAGAGTTCAGAGGCCTTCTTGCTATCTCTACTCCCAGCCTACCCCTCAAAATCCTCTCTGAACAAGCATATGAATACATTTTTCTTTTAAATCAACAAATATAATCGCCTACTATGTGCCAAATACTGTGTTAAGCTCTGGAGACCCAGTTGGTAAGTTCCATATCCATCAGAAATACGTGTTTTTCAAATATTTGCTTTTCAATAGGCAGTGACTTCTGTTTGGAATCTCAATGAATTAAGCACAAAGTATAAAATGGCAAGTACCAGAAGACTGAAAACAAATAGACTCTATTAAAAATTGAATAGGTGTGATATAGTTTACAAAACAAATGTGATATGGACTCAGTTTTTAAGTTATGGCAGCTAAGATATGTACGTGTAATAGAAATATATATAACCTAAATTTTATATAACTATTTCTTAAAAAGCATTTGATCTGGCAGCTAACTCTCTCCTCAGTCCCCTCCTTACCCAGTTGAAATGTGATCAGTCATGCTTCTTCCTTGGTGTGCACACTGGACTTCTCTGCTGCTCTTGATTCACTTGGCTCATCCATGACCCTGATTAAATCTGACGCTTTGCACTATTGTGACTGCACTTGGCCAGCTGAATGTGCCTGGGGAAAAACACATACCAGGCTGACTGTCTTACTGTGAAATCATGGTTGTTACACTAAAGTGGAGCATCAATCTGCCAAGCCATCATATTCGGCTTCCCTGGTTGTTTCATTTTCCCAGGCTCCTGGGTTACTTCATTCTTCTCCCTTCTTCTCCCCTCTACTCAAACCTCCAGTGCTTTCCTGTCCACTAATACTCTTGGCCGATGGACTTGTTTCCTATTTTGAAAAGAAAATAGAAATAAAAAGAAGAGTCCTTTCATAAATCCCCAGTACCACACTTATCCAATTACCTGCATGTATTTCCAAAGTAAAACTTATATGTTCACATTAAGTGGAATAAAGAAAAAAAAAATATATGTGGCTTTAGACCCATTGTTTTCTGACGAGTTTGCTGAAAACTAAAAAACAAAGGAAAAAATGAAAACCCTACTTTTTTCCTCAAAGACTTCTAGATTTTGAATTTGCAGACTAAGGTGTCGTGGACCTGCCTCTCCCCATACCCCCCATCCTATTTCCTCAGTTCCATTCAGGGCGGCCTCCTCATAATTCTTCATCATTACCAGATGTGCTTGTATTTCTTCTTCCCTCTGCCTGGAATGCCTCCCAGGAAATCCATAAAGTTTACTCCTCATCCCCTCCAGGTATGGATTCAAATGCCACTTTTCTTCGCTAGGTCTTCCCTGGCCCTCTGTTTGAATTGTAACCCCTCCTGACAGAAACACGCTTGCACCTTCACCCCTGTCATGTTTTGTGTTTCTCCCAGCACTTGCCACACTTAAACATATACCATATTTTATTTATTCTTATTCATTGCCTGTCTTCTACCCCCAACTAGATTACACACTCCATGGGTGCCTGAACTACCTTTTCCACTGCTGAGTCCTCAGTGCTGAGAACCACCCCTGGTATATAATAGGCACTCAGATAAATACTTCTTGAATAAATTAATGAGTCTATTTTCCAGCTTTTCTATGTCATTGAAAAAGGCTGTACACAGTACCATAAAGAAAAGACTCATTTAAAAAGTGGAAATTAGGGAATCTGGTCTCATCTCTTTATGGCAAATAGATGGGGAAACAATGCAGTGACAGACTTTATTTCTTGAGCTCCAAAATCACTGCAGATGGTGACTGCAGCCATGAAATTAAAAGACTCTTGCTCCTTAGATTGAAAGCTATGACCAACCTAGACAGCATATTAAAAAGCATAGAGAGCTTTGCTGACAAAGATCTGTCTAGTCAAAGTTATGGTTTTTCCAGTAGTCATGTATGCATGTGAAAGTTGGACCATAAAGAAAGCTGAGCACCAAAGAATTGATGCTTTTGAACTATGGTGGTGGGAAAGACTCATGAGTCCTTTGGACTACAAGGAGATCAAACTAGCCAATCCTAAAGGAAATCAGCCCTGAATATTCATTAGAAGGACTGATACTGAAGCTGAAACTCCAATACTTTGGCTACCTGATGTGAAGAACTGACTCATTGGAAAAGACTCTGATGTTGGGAAAGATTGAAGGCAGAGATAGAAGGGGATGACAGAGGATGAGATGGTTGGATGTCATCACCAACTCCATGGACGTGAGTTTGAGCATGCTCCAGGAGTTGGTGATGGACAGGGAAGCCTGGCGTAGTGCAGTCCATGGGTTCACAAAGAGTCGGACCTGAATGAGCAACCGAACTGACTGAACAGAGGTGGCTCAGCAGGTCAAGAATCTGCCTGCAATGCAGCAGACAAAGGAGACATAAGTTCCATCCCTTGGGTGGGGAAGAGTCCCTGGAGGAGGAAATGGCAACCCACTCCCATATTCTTGCCTCAGAAATCCCATGGACAGAAGAGCCTGGTGGGCTACAATCCATGGGGTTGCAAAGAGTCAGACATGACTTAGCAACTGAATGCACATGCCAATTTATGATATCTTAGCCAATTAAAGCTAGTTTCATATAATGTGCTATATTTCAGATGCTCCTGTAAAGAACTTTTAGATCAAAGAGGAAACAAAACATTTCAGTTGAAAAATACAGCAAAATATGACTCAATAATAGAAGAAACTATAAAAGAACAATTAACATTGAAAGAAAATTTTAATGAATAAAAATAGAGGTTAATGCATTAGAAAAACAGGAAGAAAACAATATGTTTGATAAATTTAAGTGGTGGTTGCCACATAAATGTGAAAAAAAAATATGAAGCCATGATGGCAGTTTTAAATAAACAAAGGGAAATAACCATGGATGTGAAAGACATTTAAATGATTATATTTTGTATAAATTTATGCTAAGAGAACTGAAACTCTGTATCAAAGTAAATCCCGACATTTAAGAATCCAATATTCAGTTCCCATTTCTATTCAGGAGTGTGGTGATTACTCTCCCACTTTTGACTCTCTGTTTTCTACCTCAGAACACCTCTATTTCCTCCTTTCCCCTTCTCTTCCCAATTCAACTCTGTGAATCTTTGTGGGTGTCTGGGCTATGGAGAACACCTTGGGAACAGATAACTGCATAGATCTGTCTCTCTCCTCTTGAGTCCCCTTTTTCTCCTCCTGCTCACCTCTTATCTCCTTCCTCCCTCTCCTATTCTTCATGTAACTCTGTGAACCTCTCTGGTTGTCTCTCATGATGGAGAATCTTTTCACCATTAACCTAGAAGTTTTATTATCAGTGCTGTATAGTTGGAGAAGTCTTGAGACTATTGGAAGAATAAAACTGAAATCCAGAGGCAGGAGACTTAAGCCCAAAACCTGAGAAAACCAGAAAACTCCTGACTACACGGAACATTAAGGAATAAGAAACCCTCCAAAAGCCTCCATACCTACACCAAAACCAACCACCACCCAAGAGCCAATAAGCTCCAGTACAAGACATACCA